CTTACGCGAAGCTTCCATCATGCCGGCCTCCATGGTTGGCAACATAAAAAAGGGCCGCCAGTCTGTGTTCAGGGAGGTCGGGCTCGACGACGACCTAAGCGATGACGGCTCGCAAGCGGGTCCGACCTCGCCGAGGGCGGACCGGAAAGCCTCCCTCGCCAGCGAAAAGGAATTCGGTGCCATCACATCGCTGCCGACGAAGCGACAGCGAGACGACGACGTGCCTGATGCCGGCCGGCAAAGTGACCGTGATACCAGTGGGCAGTCGCACGACGAGAATGAGGACGGTCGCGACGAAGACAATGAAAATAAACACGAAGACCAGCAATCCTCACGGCCGGAACGCCGCCGATCGTGGTATACCAAGCTAGCAGCCGGGTACAAGAGGCCTCGCATCAAGACGGTGGCGACGGCACCTCCGTCCTCGGTGTCCAGTCTGCAGCGATTCACCGTCATTGCACTGCTCATTGCCGTTGTCTTTCCCGCTTTCAATTATCGCAGTGGTTCGAAGAAAATCGACGTCGGCGTTGAGGCCGGTGTCATTCAAACCAGGCAGACCAGCCCAACCGACGTCTGCACCAGATGGGCGCATCAAGGCAAGTGTCCCGCATCGTGAACGCCATCCTAGACTAACACGTTCAGTCGCTCAAATCAATGGAACACTCTACATTTATGGTGGACAGGCCAAAACACGTGGTGACCAGGAGTTCAACACGTGGAGTAAGACAAACCACATCTACAAGCCTGCCAATTCATCTCCGCTGACCAGATCGTAGACAAGAACTTTCTGAGTCTCGACTTGCAAAATTCCTGGGGCATTGACGAGCCGAAACTGACCGGGCTCAAGATCCCCGATGGACCCCCGGCCGTCTCTCTCGGTTACCTCTGGCAGGACTACGACAACTTGTATCTCTACGGCGGACAATTTGCCGACAACGTCGACGACGGCAGCGGCGAACCTCAGTATGCGACACCCGACCCAATGGCACTGTGGCGATACGACATCAAGAACAAGGAGTGGTCCAGCTTTGACGACCCTCGCACGTCGGCCGGCAACTACTCGACGCAGAGCGACATTCCCGTTCAGAGAGCCGCCGAAGGTGCCGGTCTATCTGTTCCTGAGCTTGGGCTGAGCTGGTATTTTGGAGGCCATCTGGACGTGGCTACGACCCGTGGCTGGTCGATTCAGATTGCCCGTCTCTTCCTCAGCAGTCTGCTCGAATGGACGCATCCTGGTTTCGCCAACACCGGCGTCGACACACTGCACAGCTCTGGCGCTGGCGAAGGCGGCACCCTACCGAAACATCACTGAGGGCGGCACCCAGGGGGGCGAAAACTTTCCCGAGCGGGCCGATGCCGTCCTCATCTTCGTGCCCGGCTGGGGCAAGCGCGGTGTTTTGATCGGCCTCGGCGGAGGTGCCAACGAACAACTCACCGAGAATATGGAAAAGCTCGATGTGTTTGACATTGAGACCTCCGAGTGGTACAACCAGGAGACCTCTGGTGACAAGCCGCCCGTTCGAGTCAATCCATGTGCCGTCGTTGCCAGTGCGCCGGACGCGTCCAGCTTCCAAATCTATCTCTTTGGAGGCCAGGATCTGGCTACTGTGAGTATCGCAGTGACTTGACCATACACCATAGGATACTAACAGCACCAGGGCAATCAAACCCAATACAACGACATGTACATCCTGACCATTCCCGCCTTCCACTGGATCCGCGTCGACAATGGCGACTCGTCCTCGGTCCCCGCACCTCGGGCAGGCCACACGTGCACAATGCGCGACGGTCAGATGATTCTCGTCGGTGGCTACGTCGGCGAAGATATTTCATGCGACTCACCCGGCATCTATGTCTTCAACGCCTCCTCTTTACAGTGGGCCGATAAATTCAACGCCGGCGATCACGATGCCGACATAAGCTCGGACAATCTGGTCCTTGCCAATTCATGGGGCTACCGCGTCCCCGAGCCCGTGCAAAAGGTCATCGGTGGCAACGCCGACGGCAGCGCGACTCTCACCACTCCCTCCAGCGGACCGGCCACTGATGGACCTTTCGCGACGGGCAAGCCCCCCGTCTTCACGATCACCGAGAGCGGCGCCACGGCGACCATCACGCAGCCTGCCCCGGGTGCCACAGGCGGCAACGCCGACACGCCCAGCGAGGGCGACAATAGCGGAGACGACGATGGGGGTAACTCGAACGCTGGACTCATTGCCGCTGGCATTATTGCAGGCATCTTTGCCCTGCTGGCCGCGTACCTCGGCTGGTGCGCATGGCTGTACCGCCGCCAGGTCGCCGCCTACAAGCAGCACCTCGCCGTCGCGAACCGGTACCACGGGGCCTCGAACGCCTCCTTTGGACTCGGCGGCGGAGCGTTCGGCGGCCTTCTGGGCCGTGGCCGATCGGGACGCGGCCACAACCGCGACACGAGCACCGCGAGCGATGACAGCTTCGGCTGGGTCGGTCCTGGCAAGGAGCCCAAGTGGATGCCGGACGAGCTCACGCCCGGCTCGAACAGCGGGACCACTGCTGGAGGAAGCAGCAGCGCGGCGGGCGGATTTGCGCGCAAGAGCGAGGATGTCAGAAGCGGACGCACGGGCGACGGGACGAGCCGCGGGGCGCAGACTGATCGCGACAGCATCTCGAGCATGGAGGCGCTGTTGGAGGGGCAGGAGCCGAGTTTCTTCTCCGTCGTCATGGGGCCGAGACGGGCTCTGCGGGTTGTTAATGGGGCAGAGGATACCCGGTAGATACGTGTTTTACGAGACATGAGCCCACGATTTGGCGAGGCTTTCTGGGTGGAAGAGGGCTGTGAGAGCGTGTTAGCGATGAGGTGGCTTTGTTCGATACCCTTTCTTTTCGTGCAGCATACAGAGCAATTGAGCATTTACATGAGCAATCAGTCTTGTTGATACCTTTGGCGTCAAATGCCACAGGGACGAGGGTGAGGTTTTGGGTGGGCATGTGTTGCCAGACCTTGATGCTACTCAACTAGAGCTACCCGACGACAACTCGGCGACCAGTTCGTCAACCAGAGTGAGCGCGTGGGATTGTTTGGGCAATCGCTATGTGTATACCTTACGTTTGATTATTGGCGGTGATGACTTAGGTTTACTGCTATGAACGGTGGTCCTCTGCTGGACACCAGTCTGCACTGTGAACCACAAGTATCATATCGCTAACGAATAGCACATAATCAGCTGCGAAACCTTGTGTCTTTTTCATTGAAAGTCGAGTACAATGCAAACCAAGGTTGTGGCCACTCAACATAGCCTACGATAATCTTCTTGGTAACCTACTCTTCCACAGTTACACCGTCCCTCCCGACCAGTCCTGTTCAAAGAACTAAACTCTGGAAGATGCGGCTACGTATCCGGGGACCTTCAGTGCAAAGCTGAATAATGTGACACTAAACAATCAGCTATACTATACAGATATTGTGCATCTCAAGGGTCATACGACGCTGAGATAAAGAGAACAGGCCAAAGGACTTACTACTTCCAAGGCCGGAGCGAGTATCGCCTCCACGCATCTCGTCAGACACCCAACTTCTCCGAAAGCCGGGACCACTAATTGGGCCCGTCGAGGTTAGCCATGAGCTCAGCAGCGCACTCCAGGTCCTCCAGACAAGCCATCACTCCGTCGAGAGCAAACGGGTCGGTCTGCCTCTTTGTCATCTCTCCAGCGGCGGCGGCAACCTGAGCGTCCTTGGCCTGCTTCAGCATCCTCTCCCTGCACTCTGGCTTCCGGAGGCAGGCCTTCAGGCCGTCGAGGATTCCACCAGGCCTAGGCCCGCCGACCTGCCTCTTGCTCTTCTTGGTGTCGTCGATCAGCTTGTCGATCTGATCGAAGAGGTCCTTGCGGCACTTGGCCGCGTCGAGGCACGTCTGCACGTTTCCGATGTTCTCCAAGATCTCTTTTGTGTTCTCGGGCTCCAGGACCTGGCCCGGGATCTTGAGCTTGTCGAGCTTCTTCGCGCAGGCGGGATTGTTGCTGCAAGTCAACAGTTTGTCCTGGAACTTCTGGAAGTCGGTCACCTCCTGCCTCTTGGTGTTGCTGAGGGGAGCGGCGGGAGAGGCGAGGGCGCCTTGCTGGAGCTTCTTGATGCATTCGGGGTTGCTGATGCAGGTGAACAATTCGGCCTGAAGATCCAAGAGCTTGGCATTGTCAATGCTGGCATTTTCGAGCCCTGGCACCGCCTGTCATTAGTGCCTGTAATGAGGAGCGCGACTTTGGTGTTTTCCCTTACCTAGGTTGCCCTCAGTCAAGGGGGCAGCGACGGCGAGAGAGGCGACAGAGGCCGCGAGGATGGCGGAGACCTTCATTTTGAAGAACGGCTGTCTGTGATTGTTTACGTGCGAATGTCGGTGACGATCTCGTAGTCGGGCTGAGACGTAAACTTGAAAGGCGCTTGATGAGCATGCTACTAACTCGGGGTAGCATGAATGGGACATTATATATCCATCTTGACGACGCATCCGAACCAGAGCGGAGCATCCCTCCCGGCCGCCTTGAACGTCATACCTGGTAGTGCAGGAGCAATTAGGCAGGGCGTCTCTGCTGCGACTCAAACGGCTGGCACGTAGATTACGCCAATTACGGTAGCGACGTCCGAGGGGGCGTGACCAGAACCTACGTGCCGATGAGAGCGGCCTGTCTCTTGGGATCCCGGCGATTTGTCTCGGCACTCATCGTTCAATGTTGCAATCCCGAGCCGTGCAACACGAAGGCTTGATTCATTGGTGCACGAAGGGTAGGGGTAGGTTATGATGGACTTGAAGTAAACCACAACATCAGGGTCATGGGAGCTTCTGACCCCAACAGCAGCTGCTAGACAAGGTAGCACTCAAATCTGCGGGGTCTTCATCTCGTATCGCACATGTCTTGTTGAGATTCCTCCCCTGAGCTGTCGCAGGAGGCCATAGGGAGAGTCAGAGCTCGGGGCGTGGATGAGACAGGTGGACCCACGGGCCGAAGAGGATCAGGAACGGGCCGCCTTACTGGTCTGTATCTTGTAATACTCCGGGCTCGTGTTGGAGCGACGCAGCTGGCAGATTAGGTCTTCCCATCAGAATGTCTAGGTGATGTCTGATGAGTGAGGGTTAGCTAGCTGTCTTGATCGAGGGGATGGGCATTCTTCAAGCCGCGAAGCTGCCTGGTTCCTTGAACGAATCAAATTCCTGTTCGAAACGAAATCGGTGAAGAACGACAGTCACATAGAGTTGACCTGTCCGATTTGTCAGAGGTCTTGTCGTATCATTTGCTCTCACAGCAGTGACCAGTCTTGACCGTCATAGGAGTGCATCCTGCCTCTGTCAGCGGCAAACTCAGACTGGGGAAGGGAATGATGGAAGCACTGAGTACATAGCATAGTCGCGAAGGCCGTCGGCGCTTTCGTCTTCTGGCTCATATTAGGGTTTGCTTGCGCAAAACAATATCATCCTCATCACCGAGATATCACAAGAGAAATTCACAAGAGAAATCGAATGAAATGCCCGTCTCTACCTGAGGACTCTTGTCGTGGATAGTGAAGACCGAATGCAGAACTCAACACGACATGGCGGCTTCAGTCGAAACACCTTTTAGTTCTTCTAATTCAACTACCTACTCCGACGATCTTGGCCCCACCAATACAATCTTTAGATGAGCCCTTCTTCAAGATGTAGATAATGCCCTTCGTAGTGGCGCGTTACCACCTTCCTTCGATTTCTTACTTGAGCAGCACAAACTCAGCCGGCAAAGCATTTTGTAAGAACGATATGATAGCAGGGAACCTCCACCCTCTACCAAACGGTCATTAAATGCGGGAGGTCCCAGAACTCGGTACTCACAGGGTAGAGCCCGGTATAGCATTGAAGCCATCCTTTTGCGCGACAGTGCAGGCTATCTGAACAGAGGGCGAAATTGTCTACCTATACAGGCACCAGGACTAACGCAAAGCTTAGTGTCAATGAGACTTTAACTCCTGAAGCAAAAAAAAAAGCTCTCATCAAGTTGGTGGATCTGCTTTGCGACATAAACGATGTCGTGAATCACTTTAGCATCCCCAGTATAACAGGCTACTAGAGGTGTTTTGTGACAGCTCAGTCAGTTCACAACACATATACTTCCAAGAACGGGGAGCTTAAGATATTCACATGAGCATCTCCAACTACGCAATCGTGGATCTTAGTTGTTAGTGAAGTTCGTCGACAAGATCTATTTATCCGAGGCGCAGAATGGCAGAGGAGCCTTGTTTCACATTGGCTCATTGGCAGCTTAGATTGTATTTTCGTGTGGATCTCCGTCGTGTCGTCGCCAATCTGCAGTCAGAGCCCTCATCACAAAGATGCGAAGATCCCAAACGTCATGGTGTTTTTGATGTTTTTCAGCGCATAGCACCGATCCTTCACTGGTCCCACAACGGTGGTGCGAGGGAAGTCCCGAATGGCACACGTGTCACCACGGAATTGAACAAAGTGGATTGATTGTTGTTAAGGTACAAAAGGAGACTTCCAGAAGTCCAAACGAAGGTAATTGGTCAGATCCAGCATCGGTAAGGAGTCTTACCGGGGCGATAACGACAGAACAAATGCATCAAATGAGGACTCCACATTTGGGATGAAAGTACTCCTGGGTCACAGAACAGAACCTTGCCTGATCGGCAACACACCCCCTCAGATGGGTAGGCGAGCCTCTCTCTGACCATCTGAACCACGAAAGATCAGGCAGATGCCTGTTGGCGGCTTTTGGTAGAGAATTTGGTGCCTTTGGAACAGTTGGCGTTCTCAGGGCAGATGAAGGAAATCGTGCTTGTGAAGCAAATAAGGATGTGTGTAAGTGTTAGGAGAGGTGGGCGAAATTGAGCAAGCTGTTCACTGGTGGACCGCTGGTACGCACTCCATCTGCAGAAGCTTCACGAAGTTCTGATGCTTCTGAGTCGGGAGAATCTTTGTAAGCCCATCGCTCACTATCTTGTCAGTGCTCATCCAGTCCACGGATATCTTCCCCTGTCTGACTGTTTGTCGGATCCAAAGACGATGGATGTCAACATGCTTGAGCTTCGTAGTGGCTTGAGGCCTCTCACTAGTGAGTAACAGCAGCGTTTGGCGGTTATCACAGAACATCTGGATCGGAACCTTGCCATGAAAACGTAGCTGAAGCTCCTTGATCAGACGAAGAGTGGCAAGGTAGTTCCTCGCTGCGACACTGAGGGCCACCAGCTCAGCTTCGGTGCTAGAAGTGACCACGGATCGCTGCTTTGTAGCTTTCCAGTCAATTGGACCTCCAAAGAGCATGGTGGTGTATCCTTGTGAGCTAAATCTGGTGATGGGATCATCGCCGAATGATGCGTCGCTCGCACAATACAGCGATGTAGAATGGTCTCCTGATCCTCCGTAGGACAGCGAGAGAGTCCTTGTGCGATAGAGGTAGCGGAGACAGTGGTCTGCTGCAAGGTGATGGAGTTCTGTCGGCCTGAGCAGAGACTCCGCAAGTCTTGAGGCAGCTTTGGCCACATCAGGTCGTGTTGTGGTTGCTGCGTAATTGATGGAACCAATTTTGCGTTGGTATAGTTGAATGGATTCAGCAGAGGCTTCGTAATCCTTTGGAGCAGGTGCTGGGTCTGTTGATAGAGGCGTCAAATGACCTCTGGTGGATGGCTGGAGGTTGAGGTCCTTCATCTTTTCAGTGATGTAGTTCTCCAGAGACAGCCAGAGCTTGCGCTGGCTACGATCTCTGACCACTCTGATGCCTAAGAACCATCTGACCTCGCCAAGTTCTCGCATCTCGAACAGAGACTTGAGCTGGCTCTTCAGCTCTTCGGCCGCTTGGCGATCCTCTTTGCGGTTCATGAGGATGATGTCGTCAACGTAGAAGAACATGATCATGCCTCTGCCCATGAAGACACAGTTATCTTCCTCGAGAGCCACGAGGCCGATCTTCCGCATAGCCTCGGACAGCAGCTTGTGCCAGAGAAGCGGTGATCGGCGCAAACCGTACAAAGCTCTCTTCAGCTTGAAAATCGTGCGCCTCTGTGGAGCGCCCTTCTTCTGTTGCATCTCCTGCATGAGATCCCAGCCCTGAGGGGCCCAGACGTAGACTGTCTCGTCGAGGTGTGCATTTGGAAAGGCGTTGACGGCATCCAACTGGTGCGTGTCTAGGTCAAACTCTGCACAGATGGCCATCAACGTTCTGAACGTCTTGGCTGCCAGTGTCGACGCGTATGTTTCCATCTCATTCTTGGGCTGTTGGTCTCCTCGTACGCAGAGCCTGGCCTTGAACTTGGTCACGTAGCCGGTGGAGTCAACCTTGTATTTCCAGACCCAGGTCAACCCGAGAACCTTGTGTATTTCCTGGTCGACCGATTCGAAGGGGACTTGCTCGATTGTGTCCATATTTTCAATGGTGTTGACCTCCTGGACGCTTGCTTCTAGCCACTGCTTTTTGTGATCAGAATGAAGCATCTCCTTCCAGGATCTTGGCTCCGCGGGCATATCTGTTCGGAGAAGCGGTTTCTTGTTCGATGGAGTCTGAGTGTGAAAGAATGAGTATTCCACGGTCAAATGTGATGATGGAGGCATTTTCTTGCTGCGGCGGGCTCCTAGAGCCTGGTCGGTGGGGGTGCCGTCTTTGAACTGTGACGGCTTTCTGTCTCTAGCGCTCCTTCGAGTGCCTTGGATTTGTGTTGATGGCGACGGCTGTGGGGCTGGTGCCACTGATGGTCGGGCCTCCACAGTCTCTGTCTCGTCTTCAGCTGAACTTTGATCAGCTGGTGTGTGTTGAGGTGTTGATTCAGGGCTCCGAGCTACTTCGATAGTGTCTTCAATAGCCTCTTCAGTCACTTGAATGGTGTCTGGCACGGGGATCGTGTCTTCCACAGCATCTTCAGCCCCTTGAATGGTGTCTATTACGGCATCTTCCACCCCCTCAGAGACAGCTGGCTGGCCTTGTCCAGTCTCCGTCTCTGGAGTTGGACGTGGTGACGGCAGGACATCATCTCTGCTGGCTGTGTGACCTTCCCGGGGTCGCAGTATCTCCGCGTTGATCTTTCCTCCAAGTTGGAATGTCCGGGCTTTCTCGAACAGGTCGATGGTGGCAACATCGAACTCGTCAATGTCCAGTGACGAGTTGAAAGGATTCTGGGCGTCCGCAACGGGCACGTCCAAAGCCTGGAATTCGTCCTGTAGAATTGGCTTTGGGGATTGGGCGTCCTTGAAAACTGTGGACTCATCGAAACCCACGTCTCTTGTCCTCAATACTGCTTTCATCTCTGGAACCCAGATTCTGTATATGTTGCTGCTGTCGTATCCACAGAGATAGCCGATGTGGGCTCTCGGAGCCAGCTTCTGCTTTCGGTTACGTCCCTCTTGGGCGTCTGCCGTGAGAGGATACGCCCTGCATCCGTATCTTCGCAGGTGAGCCAGGCCTGGAGCCGTAGTTCGAGCGGCAAGGCCCTTGGAGTTGAGCCAGTCGTTCAGCCTTCCTTCTGGTGTCGCCCACTGTAGGCGTCCCTTCGGCGTGAGATTGTGGAGATATGCAGCGGTTTGTACCACCTCTGGCCACAAATCCTCCGGGAACCCAGCAGCCGAGGTAAGGGTTCTTGCGATGGTGAATATCGTGCCTCCATTGCGTTCTGCGGCACCGTTCTGTTCTGGTGTCCTTGCGGCTGATCTCTCCAAGAGAATGCCGCGCTCTTCTGACCAAGTAACCAGATTGCTGCGTAGTGCTGAGTCCCAGTCAACTCTCAGGACCTTGATGACCAGATGGTACTGTCTCCAGAGAAACATCTCAAAGTTGATAAACGCCTGGAAGCCATCTGCTCTGGCAGGCAGAATCCTGACAACAATCTTCCCCGAATATGCGTCCGTTATTACAAGGCACGACTCCATGCCGTTGTACGACTTCCCAGGGCTGAAGAAGTCCAGGTTGACGCGCTCAAATGGATTCGTCGTCGTGTACGTTGGCTGTCTCCGAGATACAATCTTCTTGGATTTCGCTACCCCGCAAGACTCGCATTCGAATGTTGTTGGCCCTTTCACCCCAACTCCAGTACAGCTGTATGGCAGCTGCTGTATGGCCTCTGGGTGGGCATGAGCCAGCCGTTCGTGCCAGAGCCTCGAGTCGCTGACCATCGCGGCTCTCTGCTTCTTGGAGTGATAGAAGGAAGTGGTGCTATGTAGGGTGTTCACCGCATACTGGCCACCCTTCTCCTGAAGTGGGATCTCTGAGCCAGTGGCTGGGTTGAACAGCATGTTCCTGAGGGAGTCCAGTCCGAGTCCTTGGCGTTGGAGCTGCCTGGCTGAAATAAGCGTCGTCGGGTAGTCTTTGATGTACGAGACATCATGGCAGGTGATGCTGATGACGTTCTGCTTGCTGTCGAGGGTGTCGATGGCCATCGTGCCATGCCCTTCGACGGGGCTTGATTTGCCTCCTCCTGTGCTGTATCTTACAGTGTCGGTGGCCTCGCGAAAGTTGGTGAGGAGGTCTTTGTTGTTGGTTATATGGTTGGGTGTACCCGAGTCGATCAGGAACTCGTGACGGAGATCCCCTCCTCGGTTTGTCCGTTGAAACTCGTCCGAATCAGCGACGGAGAAGTTGCTCATGAAGTTGGTGTACTCGTCATCGCAGCTCTGTTCATCATCGTCACCGAGGAAGTTGTTAAAAGCAGAGACGGCGACTCCACTGGTGCCTCTTGCCTCCTGCCGCTTCTTTTTGTCCTCCTTGATTTTCTCGTTCCAGAATTGCAATGTGCTTGGCTTCATCCTTTTCTTCGCTTCGTCAATGTAGTCCAGCAGGCTCTGATCGGATTGATAGCTCTTCTTCCTCCGGTGTTCCGCGATATTTGGGCACAGACAGATGGGCTGACACGCCTTGGGTGCCCTCTTCTGCTGTACACAGTCGCAGAATGGTCTGCGAGAAGGCGAGCTGTTTGGCTGTTGAGGAGAGTCACGATGGGAATCCTGGGCACTCGTCCGATCACTTTGACCATTCCGGTCCTTGCCCATGAAGGTCACCGAGTCGCTGTAGAAGGACGTCTGAGATGGCTTGGTGGTGAGGCGATGCGGTTGGTAGTCTCTAAGGTAGCTCTTGTACCTCAACGCCAGTACCTTCCCTCCATCACGATCATCCAGCTCCCGGCGAACTTGGTGGGCGCACTCTGCTTCGGCCCACCCTGGAGACACGGAAAGAATTGCCCGAAGGAATTGAACATTTTGATCTGCGGCTTCTTTAAGCTGAGGAATCCCGTGCTTCTCAACTTCGATACAGAGTAGGATGAAGTCGTCAACCCACTTCTCATGGTCCATCTTCTTGATCATCGCCATATGCTCCTCCCAGCGCTGGCGAATGTATTGTTTCTGTCCCATGTCGGAAGGGGCGAAGTGGTCCTTCAACGCCTTGAGCCACTCCTGGCTGCTTTCCTCGTTCATGAAGACGGCCGAAAGGCTCCTGTCGACTGTGTTGAGGATGTATTTCTGGACCTCCTGGAGGCCCGCTGACTCCCTGTTGTGGATGTCCAAATGGATCTTGTACAACGTCAGCAGTGTGCTGAGATCTCGCGTCTCATCTTCGAATGACGGTGCTGTTGGCTTCTTGGCCCTCTTGGGCCGCCTGTCAGCCTCTTTGTCTGGGTCGACTAGATCCCAGGCCTCGTAGGAGGTCGCCACGGCTCTGACGGAGTTGAGCCATGTCCTCCATTCCTCCCTCCTTGTAAGTGTCACTCTGTGCTTACCAGAGTCCATCTTGAGGATCCCTGGGCGTTGTCGGAGACCGTCGGGGAGGTCGTTCGATGGTCGCGACTGATCGCGTGTATGTTGAATATCATCAATTGACCCCGCGTGTACTCAAGCCCTAGGCCACACGTCTCGGAGGTTCAATTGGTCTTGAGGAGCTGATTTCTCCTGCTTCGATGTGTCGTGGAGAGATGATCGCTCTCCTGGAGGATGTCGGTAACGGCCCTTGGCCAGTGGTCGTCAATGGCGAAACGTCGCGTCAATTGACTGTTGAAGTGCAGCGGCGATTCAGCTGTAGACAGCTTCGCAGCAGGCGTATTGGCCGTAGGCGCCCTGCTGTAGATATCGAAGGTCAAGGAGCTGTATCGTCGCCCGGGCTCATAACTGTCACCACGGAATTGAACAAAGTGGATTGATTGTTGTTAAGGTACAAAAGGAGACTTCCAGAAGTCCAAACGAAGGTAATTGGTCAGATCCAGCATCGGTAAGGAGTCTTACCGGGGCGATAACGACAGAACAAATGCATCAAATGAGGACTCCACATTTGGGATGAAAGTACTCCTGGGTCACAGAACAGAACCTTGCCTGATCGGCAACAACACGTGCCTAGACCACTGCAAATCGAGTGGAATCTCCAACCCCACCACCAGGCAGTTCAAACTGCAACATCCTGCTCATCACCACTGATTATTTGACAGGCAGCGCACCACATTCGGAAAGAGTAGTTCATCCAATCTGCGATATCACTTTGCCATGGCAATCCAGATCCCCAGCCGAATAACATTTGAGGGCCCCGATACGGTCCGGAAATGGGGCGACGCGGCGCGACTTCGCAGGGAAGTGGAGGCCATGACCTTCGTCCAGCGCGAGACCTCCGTTCCCGTCCCCACCATCCTCGAAGTCTACTTCGATGATCATTCCGATGAATACAAGTGCTGGATTCTCATGGAACGCCTACCAGGATCTCAGCTCGGCACGGCGTGGCCTGAGATGGATGACAACGCTCGTTCAGAAACAATCAGGCAACTCAGGTCATACCTGGAACAGATCCATCACCTTCGTCCTGCCGGTGCCGGGGTAATCGGATCCGTTTCGGGGGGCGCGGCCTTTGATTATTGACTGAGCAATATGCATACATGCGGGCCTTTTGCTTCCGTTGCTGACTTTCACGAGTTCCTCGTTGCCCCGGTCAAACAATCACCGCGTCCCGGAACATTCGCGAAATGCAGGGCTCAATTCCCTGATACGTAGGACATACGCTTCGCCCACGCAGATCTGTCGTGGGAGAATATCCTCGTGGACGCATCCACTGGAAAGATCACCGGTATTTTGGACTGGGAGATGGCCGGGTATTGGCCGGAATGGTGGGAATACAGGAAAGCATTGTTCGGTTCACGAAGTCAGCCGTGGTGGATCCAGATACTCAACCAAGTCATGACGGAGTACTCACGGGAAACAGAAGTTGACATGGATGTAGAGATGTTCTAGATGACATTGAGCATCAGACGAGGGGTTTCCGTGGGTTAGGGTCGTACGATACGTCTCACGACACAATGATACAGCAACCATGATTACTGTAAGAAACAATTTTTCACAACATGCATGCAGTTCAAAAAAGGGACTACCCACTCAATCTTCCGAGAACATTTGCTTCGTCAACCCCAAGTCTATTGGCGAGTTTACTAGGAGCTAAACAAGGTACCCAGTACTACCAACCTCCTCCAACTTCAACATCCGAATCCAGCCCAACCCGAGCATCAAGCCACGAGCCTCCTAAATCCCAGCGCGACATCCCTCTAGTCCTTAAACAGAAAGGATAGGCTCTCCACACCAAAGCGTGATGCAAACACCACGAGGCGCGCTGCAGATGCCGCAGCTCTCATTGCAGCACACGAGGCCGGCGCCGCACTTGTTGGGGCCGCACTGCACACCGGTCTCGAGCCCGGGAGCAGCCATGGCAAAGGTGATTTTTTCGGTCGACGGGGTCGTGGTGGGGGCTTCGTCGCGGGCCGCCATGTCGGCGGGGCGAGCGACGGCACCCAGGGTGAGGGCGGCCAGGACAGCGAGGGTCTTGAAGGAAAGCATGGTTTCGGTTGGTTAGATGATTTTATCAAAATTTGTTTGAAAATGATGTTGATGGTTGGTCTTAAGGGAGGTCGAGTGTGAGGGTTATCGAAATGTGGTGTCGAAGATTGGGGCAGCTTGTTATCTTTATACAATTTCATCGCCCAGGAACCAAGCATGTTGTTCCATATCAAGAAGACCAAGCACGTTCTTCTCGTATAGTTCTCTACACAATCCGTTCTCAAAGGCTTGGTACGTGACAATACGCGAGTTGGTTCGGGGGTTCCCTGCTCCAGAGTCTATGTGTCCCGGCGCTCAACTGGCCAACCAAAGACAAAGAACACCTCGACCAGAAGCGTGCGCACCACCAAGTGGCCGGCTGACATGCGGGGGGGAAGGCAACATAAGGCCCGACTGCCCGGCAGGATCACAACGAAGCTGCATCTTCCCATAGGCCAAGCAACACATCTCGTGCCCCCTCGCGGAGACAGAGTTCAGCACCGTCCGCCTCGACCTGGCCGCGAACGGAAGAGGTAGGGGCATAGGTGGGGGGTAGACAAGCCGCAACGATCACAACATGCCGTCAGCCAAGCGGCTGCATCACGATTCGCCGGTCTCACACTCCTCGCCTGTCCGCGTATGAATTTCCCGGTCGTGATCACCTTGTCAACGGCCGCATTCGACCGGGTAAGCAATTATCTGCTGACCCGATGTGCGGAGCTGAAGGATTCGGGCATCCTTGCCGCTCATATCTGGCTGAGTGGCTTTCGAGGTTGGTGGAACGCCTTTCGACAGCTCTCATTTACCCGTGCACGAGGCTGTAAGATTCGAAAATGCGGTCCATGATGCGGCTGGGCGTAACCGACCGGCGGCCGCCGATCCCGCTCCAGGGATGTGCTGCAGCAGTCATGCCACCGAATGGAGTCGAACGTGGCCAAAGTGCCTTACGGCAATATTCCAATTCAGGTTCATTTCAGCTCTGAGCATTGGAAACTCGGGAATATTGACGAAAGCTGTGTAGCTGGCTCTGTTGCTTCATTCGATCGGCACATATCCTGTGACTTGGCAGCTCTACCCGAAAGCCTTGCTCTCACTGACGAGACAGACGAGACGTCGGATAGCGCAGAGGCGGACTGAAGGATTGACTGGCCACGAAACTGGCCTACTTTCCGCTTCGCAAAGCTACTCGCGTGCAATCTGTTTTAAAGACATCTAGGAGCGTTGCGGAACAGAAGGATGAGGGGGCTTTTCAGGTACAAGACCACCAAAGCATAAACATCGGGCTACAGGTAGTCTTCTAATCTATACCCGGCAATTGGCTGTGGAGCCGACCTGCGAAAGACTTCTCCAGTCTGTTCATTAACTCGCCTTGCTGATTTGGAGTGCCTACAAGTAGAATGACGTTGCCGAGCATCATGCGTCACCGGCCGATAAGATTCGGTCTAGAAATGTGATACTACCGTCCATGATACACCATTCATACTCGAAGCTTGATGAAATGAACGCTTGTGATTACGACAAAACTAACCAAGATACCACATTTCACTGATCATCAAAACCATGATCATCAGTCATCCCACGTTTCTCATTACAAAACGCATCCCCCAGCGAGCACGGATCCAGCCGCGCCCATTATGTTTTCCCGTCGCCTTCTGGCCTAAACACCTCCGTAACGAACACCCCTCTTGCCCAGTTCCTTCCTGCCCACAGCATCCTCAGGCCAGACCCATCCCCTCGCCCTCTTGGCCTCTCTCTTCTCTGCCAGCTGCGGCGTCGGCATCCACGAGTCCCTCGCAAGGGCCTTGCGTCTCGTGCCCTCGGCCGGAGCCCCAATTTCAGCCTTCCAAGCACCGGCAGCATCACCAGCCATGACGCAAAGGCCCCAGAGCGCGAGGCAGGCCGTCAGCTCACTCTCGCCATCACCGCCGGCGAGGGGCACGGCACAGACCTCGAGGAAGCCAAAGTGGGGCGTGCGCTCGTTGCCGTTACGCACGATGACGAGCTCAATTTCGGTCATGATGAAGCCGTAGCGGGTGCCGTGAGCGCGCATGGCGTGGTGGATGGCGGCGAGGCCGCGGAGGTACTCGACGCGGGCGACGGGACCGGCAGAGCGCATGCCCGTGTTGAAGCGGTCGAACGCCCGGACGAGACCGACGGCGCGGGCGGTGGGGTTGCCGCCAAAGATGGCCGCGGCGGAGGTGGCGTCTGTGGAGCACGTCGCGAGGAAAAGTGGCTCTGCGTTGGGGCTGGTCGCTGACGTCTTGGGGGCCAGAGATAGGCTCAGAGGCGTCGTCGAGGAGAGGGCGAGCGCCGCGTTGAGGCGGGGCAGGTAGTGAGCTGCGTAGATGGCGTGAAGCGCCGACTCCGTCTCAGGGTGGCGGGCAGAAGCAGCCGGCATGGGCAGCAGGGGCGCGGGAATGGGGCAATGAAGAAGTGTCGCCGCGCCAGGCAGAGAAAGGATAGTCTCCAAGTTAAAGGACGACCAAGGGCGGACTTGACGAACGTCCCACCAGAAGTTCTTGGCTTGGGGGTCGCGCATGGGGAAGGAAACGGTGCGGACCAGGGAGGGCGCCGGGTTGGAAGCGGTGAGGTACTCGTGAAGAGTCGTCGTGGCCACAGGGTCGGGTGTTGACGACACACTCAGAGGGGAGGGGGCCCGAGGCGTGTAGGAAGAAAAGTTGAACGTATCCACTGGCTGCTGCTGCTGCTGCTGCTGAACAGGTGCAGGAGTCGGCGCCTGGATGTATGATGGCATCTGGCGATACGTCGGGAAGCCGAACTTTTCAATGGCCGTGTCATCGAGGTTGCAGGTGGAGGCACGGCGGGAAGAAAAGTCAAACTCGTCATCCTCGGCAAAGGCAACGGGCGAACAGAGCAGCGAAGTATTCATGTCGTCAACCTGAGGGTAGAAGGGCATGCCCCACGAGATGGTCTCGGGGTTGGTGAAGCTGCGAGCATGGGAAGGGCGGAAGGTGGCGGAGGCAGAAGCACGCTTGGGGATGGCACGAGCCGGCGGTGAGGCCGTCTTTTGGCGCTTGGCGGGCGACTGATCGAGGGCCTGGTCCTGGGAGCGGATCTTGGGCAAAAGGATGGGCCCGCGGTGGTGGACCGGCGGCGAGGCACGGCTGGGGGTGCTCATGCGGGTGCTGACCGTGTCGGCGATGGAGTCGGCGTTGGAGGCCATGGAGTAGACGGAGCCGCGGGAGCTGGAGCGACCATGGCCAGCATTGAAGGGGATGTCGAGGAGAGAAGGGTCGAAGGAGAAGTTGGCGGGGATCTCGCACGAGGGATAGGCGAAATCGAAGGCCATGTCGGCTGCCAGACTGCTTCGTGTTAGTGAGAGGCCCCCCCCCTTGAGACGTGTATGAGGAGCTCGTACGTGGACATGGTTGCGGGTGGCAGGGAGCTCTGTCACAGACAGGGTACAATATTAGTGGTTAGGAAGGCTGCGAAGAGGGGAGACCAGCTCCTGTGTCGTGTCGAGTTGCCTCCGGGTTTGAGAGGCTGTTGAGAGTGAGGGGCGGACAGGGTGAGTGCCGTGAAGCAGAGGCCGGCCGCGTCCAGGACGACCGTTGAGATCTATGTCTTTTTTGGATACACAAGGAAAAAAGGAAGGAAAGCGATTGGGAAAGAGAGGGGAGACGAGGGGCGATGCTGGAAGGCCGAGGAGTGCTGATGAGACGAGTGGTCGTGAGGAAGAGAAGGGAGGGGGACTGCGAGGTCCTTTATGATGGCAGGACGACTGGAGCCCAATGGATGGTGATGCGGCGCGAAAGGGTCGGCGGCGGGCCTCTGCTCTGGGGGTCCACGGTTCGTTCCCACGGTGGACAGGGTTGCCGCAGGTTCCATGTCTTTTGCCTTTTGGTGCCATGTCGGCAGAGAAAGGGCTGTTTGGGTGAAGACAATGACCGCATCGGGCTCAGGCTGGGCCTGCGTCTGGGTCTCGGCCATGAGACGCGACAGGGCTTGGAGCCGGGGTGTGCATCTGAAACACGACGGGTTCTTTTCGATCGGGAGAGAGAGAGGATGAAGGATGAGGGAGACAGGGCGAGAGGCTTGCAGGGCGGTTGAGGGATGGGATGGCGGAGCGGGTTGATGGGTTTGACAGTGGGATGTGGGAGAATGGAGGAGGAGGGACGTCGAGGTTGACGATGGGGGTGGACATGGCGGACTGTGCTGTGCAGTGGGAAGGCACGCACTGATACAGTGCAGCCTTGGGGCTTCAGACACTGTTGTAGTCTTGTACCCTCGATCCGGGGTTCCTTCCCCTGTACCACCCGCTTCTCCCCTCTCACTGGCCAGCCCTCGATGCAGTGACCTAGGTAGGTACCTACCTTCTGCAGGCTTCCTGCAGGCGTCTCTGACTCATTTTTAGACACCAAGACATGCCATGACACCTTGACACCACGACACCGAGGGCTCCAGCTTCGTACATGGTACAGCTCTAGCGTGGCACCGAGAAGGCCAGTAGAAGGGAGCCGGTGGCAGACGCGGTGCTGGTGTTTGTCTGGTCGCGCGCGCTGTTGCCCTGGGCGCTCAGTCAACAGTCGCGACGACCGCGAAGCCATCACCAAAACCCAAACAGGCAACACGCGTCCCTGGGCGTTGCGATGCCGGTTCCCAGTATCACGCCGTACCCTCGCAAAGCTTCTCCTTTGTTTCTCGACTTCTCTGTTTCTCTACTGTTTTACAGTGGGCCTTGGCCTCAACCACACCCACCTACACTTGCGTGGTCAGGCAGCTAACCACCGTAGTCGCCTCACCACCAGTATGCCTTCTATTTCGGTCATATCGTATACACCCGTCCAGCAGACAGACGCCTGCTGAGGCCGAGCAGGTGCCCGTATACACAGAGGGCAATTTCGGAAAGCGAGCGGCTGCCGAATTGAACATCGACCACTCACCCCCCCGAATCCCCGATGCCCCCAAACCGTTCGGTTTCTCGCCCTCCGTAACCGCCGGCGCCTAAAAGACCTCTCTTTGAGGACGGCGCTTACACCAGACGAAGCCGCCCTCACGCCAGCTTCAGGCCCGCCGGCTGTGCCCCCCTCCGCTGTCGCCTGGTACGTAGGTGTTACCAGACCAGGCAGAGGAGAGGCCCAAGGAGCCGCTTGCCGCTTGGGGAGGGGGAGGGGGCCGCTGTGAGGATGCCCGCCCGGCTAGCTGCCGCGTCTCCAGCATGAACCGGCGCAACGGCAGCGGTTTGGCTTGCCGCTGGCTTTGTCCCACCTTGTCCCGCAGCCAGCCTCAGGGCATATGAAATGAAGCATGACCTAAGCAGGGCCCTTGGGCAAAGGCTGCCGCCGCGTACAACGCTGCACAGCCTCAATAATCCCCCCCCCCTCCTACGCGCCACCCGGCTCCCACGCGCTCATTGGCCGTCCGTCATACCCCAGATCGCCCTCGCCATTGGTCCCCGACCCCGGCCCAATCTGGACGCGCCGTGCGAGGGCGCCGGACCAATCGGCACGCGCCGCCAGCGATTGGCTCTCGCCTCTTCTCATTGGGAGCGTGTTTCCCACGTCCACGACCTGTTTGTTCTGTTTCGCGCACGCTCGGACGCCGCCGTCATGCTGATCGGTCGGGGGAACATGGGTTTGCACAGACAGACTTGTCATCCCGACCTTTTCGAGAAACCGGGGGGGAGGGGGTAGGGGAGGCTTCATGCTGGCACCGGGGCCACGGTGGCAGGTGACTCATGCGCTAGACTCGCCCCCTACTGCAGAGCTGGAACACGTCTGTTCTTGTTCGCGTGTCGGGGGGCAGCGTCGTGGAGGTGGTTGGGACGTGTATGCTTGGACGAGCTCCTTGGTCGACGTGGCTTTCCTGCAGGACAGCATGATGCAGAATGGGTTGGCGCATGATGAGCGATCGCTGCAGCTGGAGCTTCCCTGGCGGAGGAGCTTGGACGGGATCCTCAAAGCTATCCCGATGAAGACCTCAACAAGCACTCTGCAGACCAACCCTCTTCGCCATGATGACTACTAAGGCAATTTCGTAGTGGTATCATACAGCAGACAGACACATCATGATAACTCCCGTATTAACTCCTGCTTCAGCGGGCGGACCGTGTAGACAGGCCAAAAAAGAAAGGCTGGCAACAAGCAGAGAAAGAAAACAAGAAGAAAAACCAGGAAGCTTCTATTCGCTTTCACCCTCCCAGACATGGCACAAACACAACGCCTGGCCCCGTGTCTAAATCCCGCGCCGATCAACAAAGGAAAAAAAAAGTGTCAGCTTCAGCCAGAAAGAAGACAGCGCTGCAATCGTCCTCCAAGCCCACTGAGCAACCCATGCCGAGATCCCCCAGTCTCGGCCGTTAAGTCTGTGTTTGTGTTCCTCTCCCGACGGGAGACGTCCAGCCTCCCCCGGGGTGTAGTGTAGTGTACCCCGTCATGCTGCAGCAGCCCACCTTTCCACCCCGAGCCTCCTCGCCAGTCAAAAGCGTGCCTCGCAGACGCGTCGTGACGAACCCGTCCCCCCCTCATCCCACGCGTCGTCCCATGGTGTTGACGACCTGTCCACCGGGAAACAACCATCTCAGACCGGCACGCTCGCCACCTCAGGTCCGCCTGCATCTGCGCCATCACGAGCAGCTGCACCAGCCGGGTCTTCTGATGCTTGACTCACTTCAGCACTGCTCGCACCACCTGAAACGCCCGGCTGCGTGACTTGTTCGCCCTTGGCCTCGCGGAGCTTCCGGAGAAGCCTCGTCATGCCGTCCAGCCGGATCCGCTCCTGGATGATCATGCCGCGAGCAAACTGCCGGATCGCGTGCCGGCCCATCTTCTCGTGCGTCTCCTGGTACCCTGCGAGCTCGCCCGCCACCACCTGCTGCGTGTACCGCAGCTCGCGCCCTAGATTGTCCAGCTGTTCCTGCGACTGGCGGGCCTTCTCCTCCTTCTCCTCGTTCATGCGTTGCCTCGTGTCGTCGAGGAGGCCCAACGGCCATCTGGATGATCGGCTGAGAGAGTTGTAGTTCCGCTCGATCGTCTTGCGCGCCGTGGCAATCTGCGAGATGAGCGCCGGCGGGCGCGACAATGCCGATAGCAGAGCCTGGACCGTTGTTTGCAGGGCCAGCAGCGAGCCGTGAAACACCGTCGGAGGGTTGAGCTGTGTTGGCGCCAGCACTCGGACATAGGCCTCGAGGGCAGTCAGGTGCGCTTCTGGCAGGAACGGCAATGTTGATACTGCGCGATGCAAAAGCGAGGCGGCATCATGGAGATCTGCCACATGTCAGTACACGTATGCTACGTACAAGAGCAAAAGACCTACCAGAAGTAACGACGGCCACGGAGCTGGCCCGTCGAGCTACGCTCTTGGTCGAGTAATTGACGCTGCGAATCATGTCTCGCGCGTGGTTGATGAATTGCTCGACTTCGCGAACGTCTTCCAATGGCTCCAGCTCTTCTCGCACTTTTTCCGCCCTCGTCTCTGCCTTCAGGTTGCTGCGCTGGTCCATCATGTCCAGCTGGATATCCGGCACCAGGAAAAACTCCCACAGCATTTCATGCGTCGAGAATGTCGAGTGCGCAAGCATGATGCGAAGAAACCAGTCAGTCCTAATCTGGATATCTCGCAACACCGCCCTTGACGGTTTTGATGGGATCTGAAATGGCGACCTGGCGTTCGCAACTGACGGTATCCAGGAAGCCGGGTTCTCCAGCGCCAGCAGATTGCCGAGATGCTCAAAATCCGAAAGTGACCTCCGGCTCGTGGTGACCGTGTATGTCAGGTGGTCAGCTGGCGCAGCCGACTTTAAGACCAGCCGGACGGTGGCATCTTCGACAAAGTACGCCCGCACGACACCTGTGATGCGTGCGTCGGCGCCTGGCGGCATGCTGAACAGCGCCAGATCGTCAATCTTATTCCTCACCTCGTCATCCTTGGCTAGCTCAACAGCCGTCAATCCACGGAGCTCCCGAGCTGCAGTGTCGACCCGAGGGTCGACAAACAGTGTGCGGACCATGTCAAGCCTGCCATACTTGCTAGCGACCATGAGTGGCGTGAACTTCTTGTCGTTCGTCGCATTGACATCGACGTCGCACTGTTGCATGATCCGAAGCGCCAGTTGTGGGTCGTTGACAATGTGGAGCAGTGAGTTTCCCTTTCCGTCAATGTGGTCGTCAATATGCAGCGGCTGCCCGTCAGCCTGCGCTGCCGTGGCCGCATCCAAGCCGGCCGGCACCATCTCGAGGTAATTTCCGTGGTCGTACGAGCGGCAGAGGGCAAATAGCGGCGTCTGGCCGTTTTTGTCTTTTTGCCGCCAGGGCACCAATTTGCCAATCTTGGCTATTAGGTAGGGCGCGTGGAACATGTAATGCGCACAGCTGCGGCCCCATATGTCTTGCGAAGCGAGGTATCGCGATAATTGCTCCGTCGTCGCCGCCTTGGCTACAAAATCGAGGATCGTGTCGATGAGTTCCGTGTGACCTAATTGTATAGCGGCGCTGAGAAGCGTTGTATCTTCGTTGTTGATGTCGTCAAGGACAATTTGGCTGGTGTAGTACTCGTTGAGCGACAGCAGGTACCGGAGCACATCAGGTCTCTCATGCTGCACAGCCATCATGAGTACGGATTCGCCGAACAGATCATGTGTTTGTGATAAGCGCTCGACCGTAACATCGCCTTCCAAAGCGCTACCTAGGGTTCCGATGCTTGCGGCTCGAGAATGGTACGAGATTTCGGAGCTGCTCGACATGCTCCTCGTATCCATGGCCACCTTCTTTATCCTGGCCAGCGGTGGCATGACAAAGTCGACACATGACGATGATGCATCGCTCCCGGCTTCAAAGGGAAATACATGGCTCAAACCAGACCCAGATGAGAATCGCGCGGTTGATGACGCAGCTGTAGAGGGTCTCCGAGAGGATGTTCCGTGTGATGATCCATTTGTGACGCTCCAACTGGAAGATGGCCGGCTTGGTATTGGCGAGTCGCAGAAAACATGTTCATCCTCTTCGTCCTCGTCTTGCACGTTACGGCCGGGCTCTGGTTCCATAATATTTTGAAGGTCGTCCATCTTGCCATTCCGGGTAGCATCCCAGAGAGCCTTGTTTCGGCGGCTCGCCCGTCGAAGGCCTCCCGAGTCCATAGCAAGATACGCAAGGACTGCTTCAAAGGTACTTAGTGCATAGCCCATCTCGCCGTTCTCCACATCGTCGATGTAGATGAAATGGCGAATGTAAATTAGCCTGGCCTGCAGGTTCCTAACTTGCGCGCGAATGACGACAAATAGCAGGAGAGACACAAGCGTATCGGCGTTGACTGTGAGTGTCGTAGGCTTTTCGGAAGACGGGTTCTGTGCTTGACTGGCTTCCCCCACGGCCGTCAGTTGCGTCACCATCTTGGTCGTGGACAGCAGCAGCTCGAGCATTTCCTGGGGACTCATGGCGCTGCCCATCTTCTTGAACTCCTCGACGGCAAGCCCCAGGTGTATAGTCAAATCGTGCTTCACTCTCGGGCCGCCATCAATGCCGATGCCGAGCTGTGACAGGTCGATGAATTCCATCTGGCGAATTTTGGCCTCCAACTCAAGATCGTAGGGTCGCTTCATGGCGCTGAGTCGCGGGAAGATGAGGTGATGCACATTCTCCGTCACATAGCGCTCGATCAGCCGTTCCACGATTGGCCCAGTAAGGTCGGTAGTTGCGCCGAGCATGGACAGCTGCTGCTTGTCGACAGCCTGGAACAGGTCAATGGCAGTGGTGACGGCTGTCTCGAATGAGGCGCGCATAACATCTTCGTCGTCCTCGGCATAGAACGGCTCAGTAACAGGCACGGATTTCGGACCGATCATACCGTTTCGGGGGGTGGACATGCTGCTTGACCGAGCCTTCTTCATGGCCGAGGCGATCGGTCCATCGGGGAGCGGGTCTGGTATTGAAGAGGCGGATGGCGGCGGAGGTAGCGGGCGCTCAAAGACCATGGTGAATTCCAAGAACAGCTTTTCGAGGCCAGGCTGCATCTGGCGTGCAATGATGGGAAACTGGTTGAGAAGCTCATGGAAGCTCTTGATGTCCTTTTTCCGCGGCAGCATGGCGCCGTCGTTGGCAGCAGCGTTGGCAGCTCGGCTCAACGCCATGGCCCGTTTGGTCGCACCGTCGACGAGTATTGCTGGTGTGATGGTAATCTCCTCCCAAATGCCAACTAGCGGTTTCGTAATGTAATAGATGAGCCATGGTCTAGGCTCCAGGACATCAGGGTACCAGATGGCATCGTTCAAGAGCTGCGCTTGCGCAAGGGATTTGAAGCCTGACTACAGGTTAGTGGAAGCACAATCGGGTCTGCCCATGGCACAAACCTTTGTTGCTGTACACGTGGGTATCCTTGATGACGACTGTGCGACCGTTGATTGTGGTATACTGCTTCGCCTTGCCCCGCATCTCCCGAAGGTTCTGCGCAGCCTCCTTCCCGCCCGCTGCCGAGATGGCCGTCCCAGGTATTCGGAGTACATGGCTCGCTAGAAAGTCTTCCGAAACGATCACCTCCTGAGAGGAGGAGCCGCTGTCGGTCTCTCTAGATGTGAGGAGCGCATCGGTGCTCGGAACCAGCAGGACGTGGTGGTGCACTGGGGTGCACTGAGTCGGCAGGGAGCTTCGGAAGAAGGCTGCGAGGAAGGGATTTAGAGGTTGCATTCATTCGACCGGTGCTGGGTATGGGCTGGCCAGCTCGCCCAGCTGGGAGCCAGGATGACAAGGGGGTGGTGGGTGGTGTAGAAGGTGATTCGGAGGTATAGTCGGGCAGTCGGCCCTTGAGGATGCTCGATCGGAGCCGCAGGTGCTGATGACCTCTGGCGCGGTTAGGGTTCGGAAGTGGTCGTGATGGCGGGTTTTATTGCAACGGCGGAGGAGGTTGAGGTAAGTGCAGGAGCTGATGGAGAGGAGGTCAGGCCGATGCCACGAATGCTAGGTAGGCTAGAATCATATCGCGACCAGGACGGAGCTGGTGTGGATCTTGGGCGGACTGAATGGAGTGACTGACCTCATTCCAGTCCAGGGGGGAAAGGCGGCTTCTGGGGTCTGATTGGCGTAGATCTTTAAGCTGTTATCTGAATGGGCTTGTGAGCCTGGCACGTGACCAACAACGAACTACTTAGTCAGCTGACATCGAAGGGGGGCACAGCTCTGCATTTGACTGGGAACTCGCAAACCATCCATCCATCATCAGCATGCAAGCGAGCATGCATAGAGGGGGTCTTCCGAAGCCTCCTCATCAAGGTGCAGACATAGAGAGGTCGGCTGGCATGCAGATGATGCCGATCACGATTGTGGCACGCAGTGGGCCCAGCCCTACCCCTGACTCCTCACTAAGGCCAGCCACTCATTGCAAGCACTAGTGGCGACAGGCATGAGGTCTTGGGCATCGTTTCGAGACATTGACGCTGCGATCTCCAGACTGCCTCATCTTCATTTGTACTCAGAACCGATATGCTGTATGGTCATCGTTTTCGACACCAGAGCAGCATCCATCATTCACACTGTGGTAGAGATGTTGAACGCCTAACAATTGGCACATAACACACCAGTATTATTATTCCAAGCACGAGGGAATCTGCGTTAACCAAGTGGTCGAACAAGAATTGCTACACTCATTGTTGTGTGATCCAACCTGACATGGCTATTAGACCAACTTGTGTAGTTGCAAAAGCTCCCAGAGTTTATGCTTTTTCGACGATGTTACGCTAGCATTCCATCCAAGGATGCTGTCATGCGTCGTCATTTATCATTAGATGAAGACTTTGTCAACGTAGCTGCCATCATACTTTTGAACTCACTCCATTGAAGAGCACGCGAAGAGGTACCTATATTGGACAGGCTTCACTGCCTATGTAATCCCCCGTCTATAGCTTTTGGTCATTCTGCCTAAGGTAGCTACGTAGGCAAGCGGGTTGCAAAAAAAATGAGACGTACCAGATCCCTCCCCCATAACCATTCCTACTACCCAGCTATTCAGCTATACATTTCTATAACGACTCCAGAGCTTCAGTCTAGGCGAAAAGCCTTTCTTTAAAATAGTGTACATTATACTGATCTATAAACTCAATAGTCACTATAATTCTAGATCTTGTAGGTGTCTCGTAGTAGTGTTGTGCAGTTATTCTAGGTGGAGGGGCTGGGGTGAAGCATTCAGTACGTCTCATTTTTTTTGCAACCCGCTTGGTAGGTACCTTATGGTTGGCAGATGACCAACTTTGGCCTGCACAGTGAGAGAGGGTGGCACTTGGAACCCTTGATAACTTGGCGCGATATTTCACATGTACTATCCAGAATTCCTGTTTGACAGCTGATCCTCTTAAAATTTGACACGTCTCCAGTTTGCATACATGGCTGTTCTTCTGGATCCCATCTCCAAGGCGTAGGGCTTGGACACTACTGTTTCTCCGCCACTCAGATCATTGAACCACAGCTTTTGTCACGCTCCATGGCCGCACTTGACTCTCACAGCGAGAAAGAAGCTCCCGAATGAATCTCAAAAAACGTTCCGGGCATCTACTTGATCCTAAAGCTTTGCCCGGTGGGGGTTCAAGTGATGGAACTCGCAACAAGACCTTGGAAATAAATCCCTACAGCCAATAATGAGGACAGTGGATGTTATCTCTCGAAATTTATCATCAAAGGAGCCGAGCTTAGGCCCAACATAGGCTTTGAACCATCTTCGGCTTCGCGCCTAGTTTCGCTGTCTCGACCATCCGGTACAAAAGCCAGCAACTGCAATACTCGGATGCTCCCGTTCTTGGCCTCTCACTTCTCTCAACCCAAAAGCGCTTTAGCGGGTATTCCTGTTTTGCCCTTGCGTAGAGGCTCATACAACAGGCTCTATGGCGGGCTTTTTAGCGAGTCAATGTTTGATAGCGCAGGTGCTGATGCGGAGTTAGTTCGTCGACGTAAGGTCAGATTAGCAACAGCTTCTGACACACATTGAAAACACATTTACAGGCACAGTAGGCGGCGCATGAGTGGGTTTCTTCGAAGAGTAGGTGGGTAGGCGCCGAAAGCTGGGATGTCGCGAAACAATATAAAAATAAAGATTAGCACCAGAACAACCTCCTCACATTCCCGTCCGTTTCTTCCCTGGCAATGATGCATATGATTGACTCCGAAGCACATTCCGAGTTCTTTTACTATATTGGCTTATTTAATAGCTTTGAGTAGCGAAAGTCGATCCCCAAAGGATCAAAACGTTCAATTTATAGTGATAATTTTAGACGGGTGCTACGCTGCTGCTCATCGTCGAGTATGCTAATCCATCTGCTTCACCTCATCCATCTCGTCCATCCCATAAGTCCACGATTGCGCGCAGTCAGCGGCGAATCGAGTCCCAGAACAGCTATTACAATAATCCTCCGGTGATATCTTTTCCTTTCCGGGCCCATGTGGATTCTTAGCGGAAATATCTATCCTCTGAATATAGGTATTGTAAAGTCCGGACGAGTAGTTTTTGCACTTGTGGAGAACTATCATGAGGCTTGTCGAAGGCGATCCCATTATCAGTCGCAAACCCGATTGATGATTAAATACAACGGGAAAAGTGTGCTTAACACCGGCCATCCCGCGAGTAACGTTTTAGTTTTAACGGCCGCTTCTGCGGAAGATCTTGGCTGGGTGCCTCGGTCGCATTCTCTATACATCTGTGACGGTGATGAGGTCCGAAGAGGCTGACTGACGCCGGCCGGCATAGAGCCCGACATGATAAGCTTTGTAAATCCCGCGTCGGCAGAACCCGCTTTAGGCAGGTCTCTCGCAAGCATAGCAGCCGGTATTCGGCACCAAGCCAGTCACGACATAAGGGCCTGCGTCCCCGCTTTCATGCTTGATTGTAACCAACCGACCTTAAAAGGCAGTTGGGGGTACGACTCGGGTTACATGAGCGCCTCATGTGATGTCTTAGTTAGTCGGAATTGGCCCTCCTTAGAATAATCTATTTCGCGAGTTCATGTACGCTCAGTTTATTGAACTAAGAATTACTCCCAGAATTCCCGGAAGCCCCAACTGTGACTATCGCTCTTGGACCAAACGGCAGCTTACCTTCGGACGAACATTACGAAGGAGCTAATTATGAAGAGTGCTGTAATAGTAGCCCAGGTTAAACCCTCGAGGAGGATGTTCGGCACAGCTGGGAGCTTAGTCACAAGACGTCTCGTGGAGATCAACGAGATCTACTGGAGTCAAACCGGCCGCATGGCGATTCTGGTAAACTAATCGCGGATGCAACCTCAGCGTACTGAGATGTGGCCACCTTCCTTTTACGTACTCACACACCTGTGACAGAGCAGCAGCAGCTGTGACATGATTACAACCTGCGCGTCCCATGACCGTAATACATAGAAGACGAGTGGATTTCCACAATGCTGCCATGTCACGACTTTACTTTGGAGGAGGGCTTTCGCTACATGCACTCAATAGGGAAAGTGACCTTGACGATCCTCAGAGACTGCATTATGAGAGGTAGGACGGAGTCGAAGACTTGAACAGGAAGCTCGATCAACGCCGGTCCAGGGAGTCGTTGTCGCGAGGTACGAACTGTGAGCGATGAGCTCGTATCGCCATCTATTTCACTCGCAGAATCCCCACGATTCTAATGGGCTTGATCCAGAGTTCATTAGCTCTTGACTTATCGCAAGAATCTCCAGACTAATTTCTGTCATCATTATGATCATGGGTGCCATCAGATCTCTCGTGCTCTCAGGCTTGCTTGGGCCTGGGTCTCGGGTGTTTGCCCATCCAACTACCCATCAGCCCCATCTCGCCCGGAGAGGCATTGACATCGAGGCTTTCCGGCTTCCCCTTCTGTCAGAGTATGTCAACGCTACGGAAACAGCCTCTGACCCAATCATGACCCTCAGCAAGCGGGCTACGTACGTTGAGACTGCCACTGAGCTCGTCAAAGCTACTGTGCCCGGCGTCACCTTCAGGGTTGTCTCCGATCATTACGTGGGAGCTAATGGAATTGCCCATGTCAACTTCAAGCAAACCGTCCACGGAATCGACATTGACAATGCTGATTTCAACGTGAACGTAGGTCTTTCGCGTTTCCGTGTGATTCTTATTATCCATTCGAGGAACTAATATGATCCAGGTTGACAGCAACGGTGAAGTCTTTTCTTTCGGCAACAGTTTCTTCTCTGGCGAGGTCCCCGAGGAGGAGCCCTTGAAAAGGAGAGACTTCAACGACCCTGTTCTCGCTCTTCAGAAGACTACCGAGATCCTCGGTCTGCCCATCGAGGCCTCCACTGCATCTGCAGAGCCGAAGGAAGGGCAAGAGACTTACACTCTCACTGGCACCGATGGCGCCGTGTCTGACCCCGTAGCCAAGTTGGTCTACATTGCCCAAAAGGATGAGTCACTTGTTTTGACCTGGCGGGTTGAGACGGACATCATGGACAACTGGTTGCTGACGTACATCGACGCCAAAACTGGGGAAGACATTCATGGCATTGTTGACTACGTGTCAGATCTTGCGACCTATAACGTCTAGTGAGTTCTCCTCTCCTCTTCATCAGTTTGACTTTTTCTCGGCAACACATGTTGCACCTCTGCATCCTTTTCTCGGTTCTGACCTCAGCAGCCCGTGGGGTGTGAATGATCCCAGCGAGGGATCTCGTCAGTTGATAACGGACCCATGGAACTCAAAGGCG